ACCATCACCATAAATAGGGCTATCACTAAGATTTACACAACAATTCATATCAGACACTTCCACAAGGGCATGAGCCACATTAGGAGAAACAACACCATCCACAACACCATAAACCACCAATTCCCTACTACCCATTGGAGAATTACTAGAACAAACTATAACAACGGGAGCATGGGCTGCATGGGAGAGATCAAGGCAAGACCGAACAGGCCCGACAATAGGCACACCCACATCACAGACATTAACAACATGGATAGGGAAATCCAGCACAGTAACCGAATCCACCAAAACAACAGAAGGTCCACCCAAAGAAGGCAATGGAAGAGGAGAAACAACGACAGTAGAAACAGGAGAAACATCCACATTAAAACGCGCAGGCAATCCAACCGAACCAGCACCCTCATTCCCAATACCCGCCAGAGAAAGTGACTGACCCAAAGGATTAGGAGTAACCAAATCCACAATAACATCACTACCAGCATTCTCCACAACAACATTTTCTTTCCTAACAAGGATACAGACTTCATAGAAGAAACATGAATGGGAGCAGGGGGTAGAGAACGACACTCACCTCGAAATGGCCAATATCTTTTCATAAATCAAAAAGGGGAGGGGGGGACCTCCATTTGCACATGCTGGATGTAACCCAAATTATCCAGACCAAGCCAAACTTTATCAGAATAGTTCTTCGTAATATCCATTTCAACCAAAACACGGGCAAGGGAGGGACGTGAGCCAATAGAGGTGGCATTATCGAGTTTAAGAGGGCGGCAAAATAAAGAACCCAAAGCATAAAGAATGCAGGGTCAAATAGATGGGGCCTCAGGTTGGGAAATGAAAGCCAAATGGGGATAATTAGGGATTCCACGCTTATATCAAGGGCAGTGGACCATTTTGTGAGTTTCATGTAGCAATTGAAAACCAGGTAAGAATGATGGCAAAAAACCCTACTATAATCCATGTCATTGGATAATTTAATCAACACATGAGAAGAATCCAGTAAGGTAATAGAAAATTCAGTCGTTAACTTAAGATTGAAGAAAAAATGATGGATGGAATCCAAACTAGGCCGACGGGAGGGGAAAAAACAACCAAAGAAAACTGGAAAGGGGCGGCTAAAGATTCAATCTCCTCCTCAGAGATCCACACAACAGGTAAACCACGAAATGAAGACGTTTTTATAGGAGAAAAATAAACATCCGACGCATTACTAGATAAAGTATCCAAAAAAGACCACGACTTCTTGGATCCATCCAAAAAATCAGGATCCAAGAACCGTTTCGTGGCCATGCCGGCCACCCTGGCTGAATGGAATGAAGATGGAGGCAAAATCAAAGAAATAAAAGACAGGGTATAAGAAAACTCCCCTGAAACCAGAAAAACTCCAGCAACATGAAGAGGAAGAACATTCGCCCAGAGAGAATACCACGCAAAAGGGGGGTCAGAGGCCCACGCGCCGGAGGGAAACCTTAGCTCTCAGAGGAGAGTGGGGATGACAGATAGAGAAAAGTTATGAATTGACGATTTCTTTACTTCTCAATCATATTATTTTTAGGGTTCTTTAACTATAGCTCTTTCTTTATCTAAATCATGTATAACCCTACGCTGCCTATATAGTATATACATTGATCTACCTTTTTTATTTCATTCAAATTGTTTGTGATTAATCAGAAAATCCTCAAAAAAAATACAAATACCATTGACCTTACTCTTTCCAAATAACTATTCATTAATGCTTCAACATGTTATTTTCTCAAATCCATTATTGTTGGCTTATCACCTCCCTATTATATTTGATTCAATGGACATTTAAGTTTTTTCTTTTTTTTTTTCTTTTTTTTTTTTATTTAACTCTCCAATTGACTTTTTAAATACTTCTTATAGACTTCTCCTCTTTGGGTTGTCTTTAGATAAATGCATCTTCAATTATTATCCCATTAATTAATCTACAGCACTATTTTGGTAGCACCCCTTATTTGTTTATTGCTTCTCGATGGTAGACAACAATAATTTAATGTATTAATTTTATATAATATTCAGTAAAACAAAATTAAAAAAAAATTATAAAAGACATCAAAGTTTTGATCTAAAAAAGTTCGAAAGGTAAAAAACAATCAAAGGGCTTGTATTTATTTAAATGAGTCAATGATGTTCTTCTCTATGATTGAGGAAGGCATTGATAGGTGGGAGTTGGCATTTATACTGATGATGTGCATCAACTTTTATGATGATGGCTTGCATTGACATTATTTGTGATAGTGGGAGGTAGTCAAGCGATGGTGTAGTCAGGCGATAGGATTAGGAGATGGTAGCCAAGCAAAGCTGGTAAGGAGACTGTAATCACTCGACAATTGTTGGGAGATTATAGTAACGCAATAGAGGGCAATTGTGGTCAAGTGGAGGTAATTTGGCAATAGAAGTATGACAATGGAAATCGAGTGATAATGATTGCTAATGTTATTTGTTTGTGTTGAACATAAAATATAGCTTTGAAATTCATCAAATCTTCAAAACCTCTTCAATTTTAACTCAAGACGTAAGCTCTAATACCAATTTTTCGTTGTTTGTGATGATGACATGTGTAAATCTTACAAGCAATAGTGTATAAGAATGTTATTGGTAACATCGAGTGATGAAATCAATGAGCTTCAAGGTTTGTGTTGATAAAGTGCACCGACTTTATAGACAATTAATAACACACATTAACATTGTTGATAGAGGCTAGTGATGAAGTTGGCAAACATCAATATTGGTTCGAATGGCTTGAATTCATCTTATAGTTGATGACATGCATCAACGTCGCTAGTGACAATGGCGATAAAGTTGATTGGGCACCTCTTTTCACCGCATAGGGATAGTGTAGAATTCAGAACTACTCAATGCCTATCTGACTGCCCAAATAGTTTTTGGCTCCCATTAAAATCCATTTCTCTCACTATTTTCGAGCTTTTTTTTTTGCGAAAAGGAAACACTATTTTTAATTATTTTTATCAAATCTAATTTTAATTATATATTTATATTAATTTATATTAATATTTTTTAAGCAAGCTAGCAAAAATGCTGATCAGTTGTAGTGGTTAGCTCAAATTTGACTTATTAGCTCATTGAGTTATGCTCATGAGCTATTTATCAAGTATAGCCCAAACCAGCCTTTGAGGTGAGTTTACTTAGTTACACCCTTAAGCAAAATACATGAGATTTGGTGAAGAAGAAAGGAAGGATTTTTAATGGCGAGTAGATTTTCAAGTAACAAATCCAATTGCAAGCTTTAGCGATTGGATCCTATAAATTATTGCTTCGTGGACACATATTTTTACGGAGCTTGACTCTTTACAATCTTGAATTTTTCGACCAAATTCTTCTATAATTTTTCTTGTTGCTGCTCTTAGATGAAATACTGAGGTTTCATTTGGGACAATTATAGACCATAATTTTTTTCCTGCTTGAAAAGATTTTTGCACTAAAAATTAGCTTTACAAACGGTAAGAAAGTTGTCCCAAAGGAAGCCCGGATCTTGTAAATGACGACCGTAAGAGTTCACATGGTTCAAATACAATGGATTAGCGGACATATATGTGCAATGACAATGCTTCCAACTGACTGAGTTGACCATTTATAACTATGAAGTAATAAAACGTGGATCAGTTAGTAATGCATTATATATTCCTTTGGAATACAAGAAATCCTCGATAAAAAACTGCAGTAGGTAGAGAGAAAAGTGGATAAGACTTCAATTTAGTTGCCTTAAAGAAATTTATGCTCATATACATATTTGAATCTAGGAAGAGATGCGCTCGATAATGGAGAAATTATTCAAATATAAGTTATAAGTGGCTCTGCATATGTTGCATAATCCATATAAAACTCGAGTATATCCATGGGCGGATCCACGTAGGTATGAGGGTGGGCAATTGCCCACCCTAAAACCGGAAAAATGACTAAGAGAGGAGGTCATTTTGGACTTTTGCCCACCCTAAAATTAATATTTTTGCCCTAATCAAACACATTGCCCAACTGGAAGCCCATACCGACGTGATCTCCCTCTCCTTCATCCTCCACAACGGGGTCCCCGGCCTTCCAGGTCTTCAAGAACTGCTTCAGCTAGGTCTTCAGGAATGGCTTCACTAGATTGCCGTTTGTAAGACAGATTTTTTAGTTTGATTTGAAATTTCATTTACTTTTATATATTTTGTATAGTTTCCAATTTTAAGAAAGCATTAACTAAATGATTTTCTTTTTCTGAATATCAAATTTTTGTTGAAATAATTTTTCCTGAATAGCAAAGTCATGTAACAATGTTTTTTTTTTTTTTTCTGAATAGCAAATTTCTGTATAAATTGTTTTTTTCTGAATAGCAAAGATATGTAGAAATGATTTTTTTTTCTGAATAGTAAAGTTCTGAAGCAAGAAAGTTAGCAAACAAATCTTGTAAAAAACCTTTGCAATATAGTTAAAAAATTTTCTCTAATATCCAAAAATAAGTTTCCTCACATCAAGTATAATAAGGGGACAACACGCATAGTCAATCTAAGACAATTGAGAAAGAACACTTATTTCCACAAGACCAATCTTTATAATGAATTTGTTTTCTTACAAAAAAAATAGAACATCTAAAAACTCAATTTTTTTTTTTGAATTTATATTATTATTATTATTATTATTATTGTTTGATTAATTAAAATTTTGCCCACCCTAAAAAAAGGAGCTGGATCCGCCACTGATCCGGTCACCAGACGTGGAGATAGATCTGGATATTGATAAAATATTATTTTAAATTAAGTGCGTCAAAAGCGCAGGTAAAGCGCATGTAAAGCGCAGGTAAAGCGTAGGTCAAAGTGCAGTCAAAAGCGCAGGTAAAGGGCAGTCAAAGCGCAAGTCAAAAGTGCACGTGACGTGAAAAATTTTTATCAGATGTCCGAATCTTTTCTCTGCGTTAATTTGGCCTTATAAACTTTGATAATATTTGCATAAATTACATATTTTTAAAAATAAGGAGATACGCGAACCGAAACATTTCCCTCTTACTCCTCTGCGCCTCCACTTTCCCGTCCTCTTCAAACTTCTTCACCAGCACCCTAGGGTTTAGGGTTTCTCTCGTCTTAATCAGGAAAGATAAACATAAAGGAGAGGGGCGCAGAGAAAGCCGAAGAAGAAGAAAAGGAAGCCCTGCACATGGTCGAGAAAGTTGTGGTCGGAGCCGTGGACGGCATGGCCGAAGAAACGCAATGCAGAGACCACCCAGATCGAACTAACCCTAGCGGTATATGTCCCTCCTGCCTTCAAGAAAAGCTTCGAAAGCTCATCTCCTCATCCAAATCCTCCGACCCGTTGTTCTGTAAACCCCCTCCTTCCTCTTCGTCTTCCCCTCCTTCCTTCCCCTCCTTTAAGACCGCCTTCCCCGCCTCTCGAAAGAAGAGCTTCTGGTCTTTCCTTACCACCTCCTCTTTCGCCAGGCGCAGATCTATCGAGTATCGGTCGGATAAGGACGATGATGAGGTCTCCGCTTCCTATGACCGGAAACTATCCAGATCCAGGTCCGTGGGATGCGGGAGTCGGAGCTTCTCTGCCGACTTCCTTCAACGGATCTCGAATGGGCTTGGAGACTGCGCTCTGAGGCGAACGGAGTCGCACCGGGAGGCAAAGGCGAAGCTCTCCTGCGATAAGAATGGCGAGCAGAGGAGGATTAAGGAGCATGTGAAGTGCGGTGGAATGTTTGGTGGTCTTGGCGCGATACCGTCCACGTCGTATTGGTTCTCCGCTGCTGAGGATTCGGGTGATTTTGAAGAGTTTGGGCGTTTGCAAGCAGTGAAAAGGGGTGGCCGGAGTAAAAGTTGGGGTTGGGTTTTTGCGAGCCCAGTGAGAGCTTTTAAGGCCGCTTCCGCCGGCGGTCTACCGGCCATCGGTCCCGACGGTGGCCGTAGCGGTGACGCTAATCGATCCATTGTAGGCTTGTAGCAATTCCAGGCTTGTAACGCTCTGTTCTTGTTCACTTTAATTTAAAATCCCACAATTTTACCATGTTGTTATTTTGTGATTTATATGATTCGAGTTTATGATACTAATTTTTTTTTTAATTAATGCATTATAGATTTTTTCACGACTCACATATTTTTAGGATTATTATGATGTGATAAAATCAAATTCTTAACATTACACAATTGATTGAAATAATTTATGTAATGGGCCTCACATAATGGGATAAAAACTTAGGTTTGTTTGGGACAATTTTTTTATTGTTTTCTAAAATATTTTTTTAGTGATAAAATTTTTTTAGAAAGCAATAAAAGTTATCCCAAACAAAACTTTAGAGTTTCTTGCTGTTTTATAAAGTAGTTTTTTAGTAGAAAAAAAATTTAAATTTAAAATTTTGTATTAAAAAATTACTTCATAAAGCAATAAAAAGCTGTCTCTAACGAAGACGTATTGTTGTTCTGATAATTTATTGGCTTACTAATTCTTTTTGTTGTACATAGTTTTTTTTTTTTTTTGGACAATTTTTTTCTTGTTTTCTAAAATATTTTTTAGTGAAAAAATTATTTTAGAAAGTAATAAAAGTTATCCCAAACAAAGCTTTAGAGCTTTCTTGTTGTTTTATAAAGTTGTTTTTTAGTATAAAAAAATTTAAATTTAAAATTTTTTATTAAAAATTTACTTCAAAAAACAATAAAAAAGTTGTCTCTAACAAAGCCATACTATTGTTGTGATAATTTATTGGCTTACTAATTCTTTTTGTTGTACTTTTATGAACATAATATAGTTTTTTTTTTTGGACATTTAGGTCATTTAAGACAAATTCACACATACAATGCATACACAGAGACTCAAACCCAAGACCTCTTAGTTGAAAAGCCTAAGCTGTCAACCAACAGGCCAAGGTAAGTTGTTAAGAACATGGTAGATGGAACTTGTTTGTATAATTATTGTGGTTGGCTTTGAGAAAAATAGGGAAAATTATTACTAGATAATAGAATAGGTGTTTGGGTATTATTTTTTATTTTATTTTATGGAAAAAAAATCATGCCATGAATTTTTTTTTTAAATAAAACTTGGTCAATTAAATTGGACTTTATGTAAGCCTTTTATATGATGTAATTGATGTTATTCAACTTTGAAATACTAAGATGCAACTTGATAGAGATCTTAAATGCCATGATTGTGATTCACAATCATGAAGAAAATACAAATGTTTGAACACATCAAATTATTCCATCTATGAAAATACAAAGTAAAATCTTTGAGGATTTTCATTATCCTATGAAATCCTTGCTAACTTTTTCTCAATAAAAAGAATGTGAAAATTTTGAGGGGAAATGTTACAAGTAATTAAGAAATCCTACATACGTTAATTAAATTATGTTTTATATATTATGATAGTTATCTTATTAACTTCATCCCACTAGATCTAGATTAGACATCATCGATGAGGACGTGATCAAGATTACTTGGCATTAATAATATATTTGGGTCAACATCACAAAATATGACAGAGGACATTCGAATATAGGATCACAATACGTTTAATGAGTTCATGATGTTGAAGATCATACAAGATCAATATTTTCTCTCAATGAACTATACTAAAATAGTCATTTTTCAATTCAATATCTTATTGCACTTATGTTCACCCCATTTATAGGCATGTAAAATGAGTTGATTGAGTATTAATGCTACCAAAGAAGCACAAAGAATAAAATAACTAGCTACTCATCTAACTTTTGGTAATCATTTCTTTAGAATCGAAGGTAAGAATTTTTGAAAGTTCATAAAGAGCATGCAAGGGGAGACTTCTAAACAGGGGTGGAACCCCATTATACTAAGGGTGGGTAATTGAATATCCTTGAAATTGAGTTGAACTTATAAGCGAGCTTGTTTCAAAATTTTGCCTCCATCAAGGAAGTTTTTTGCACTACCTTAAAAAAATTTTCCCTTGGTCAATTCTGATCCTATTCATGCAAGCACAATCACTCACTTTTCTCCTACACACTATTTTCCGCATATTGTTCATGATTATTAGGCGTTAGACAACATGTCACCTACTGCTTGAACTACGAGTGTCAATATTGAACCCGACCAGAACCAGACCCGAAAATTTCGGGTTTGAGTTGACCCAAACCTGAAGCGGGTCGGGTTCGGATTGACCCGAGAACTCGAGAATGACCCAATAACCCGTCTGCCCGCTTTGACCGACCCTGCCCGCCTGCCCCGGCTGCCTGGCCGCGTCGCTTCGCGAGTCGCATCCCGAGAACAGTGTCGCGTCGCATCGTGTGACTCACGTCCTGCTGGAGTGTCACGTCGAGCACATCCCGAGTCAATTGTCGACCGCTTTCACCGGCTTCCGCTATCGCCGGCCGTCAACCCAGTGTTGCTGCCGACCCGCCGCTGTTGACATTGCTGTGTTCACGGGTCGAATCAGGTTGACCCGAACCCGAAGCGGGTCGGGTTCTGGTCCAAAAAATCAACCAGTTTGAAAAAATGGGTCGGGTCGACCCGAACCCGACCTGTGACCCGAAATTGACACGCCTAGCTTGAACCTCACCAACACTTGTACTTCTTTAAACGTGAACTAATAGCTCAACACACCATCAAAAGAAAAGCTCATTCCTCCTCTGCTTCTATATATGGGTAGAGAATTTCACATTTGTTGGCTGTTGCACTTGTTAAACTTTGAAGATGATTGACTTCTTGAACGCTTGATCGATGTCTTGTTGGAGATGTTCTCTAAGCTTCAACAAGGTTGATGCTTGCTTCTTCACGCATTAGGATAAAATAAGCATTTTAGTCAACATTTTAGATTCCTTTTTAGCATTCTTTTTGTAATTTTTTACAAATTATCTTTATCACTTATTTTATCTATTTTCTTATTAGTTTTTTTTTTTTTTTTTTTTTTTTTTTTTTTTTTTTTTTTTTTTTTTTTTTTTACAGAATGTTCATTTTCTTATTATTTTACTACAAAACCTACTTAAATTAAACTTAACTTTTATTATGGGTTTGTTTGGTTGGTGTTGACCTCGATTTTGTCGTTGTTTTCCCTCGAGTGTGTTCGATCAGGCCAATCGAGTCTCAATGAGCCTAATTCAATTCAAATCGGTCCGATCGCATCGACTCAAGTTCAATTGAATTTATGAGACCCAATTGAACTCAAATCGAGTCGAATTCGACTCTACTATATTCAATCAGGCTTGATCTATTCATCTTAGTTGCGTCGAGCCCGATTTGATTTGAATCGGCGTCAATTCCGGTGTATTTTCGTCATATTAGCTAAGTTGGTCGACTTGAGCCCAAATTGGCTTGAGTTTGGCTCAAAATTGAGTTTGGTTTGAGCCCAAATCGGAGTCAAATTAGCCCATTTAGTTCAAACAAAAACTTCAATTGACTTTTGGCTTAATCAAATCACCTCCTAAATCTAGTAATTGCATCGACGGCTGCAATCTAACAAATTAGGATGCATCCTTTGTTGATTCAATAGATGCTTACTCTCAAATACAGTTTCATGCTTTAAAATTCTGTTAGAAAAAGTATTTTCTCGTAGCGTGCATTGATTTTTTAATATTATCAAATTATTTTTTGTGTAATAAACTACTGACATACCTACAACAAATAGTTTTAATTATTTACTGTGAGATAAAAACCAAGGGACTCCCAAATCTATATATATATATATATATATATATATATATAGGTAAGCATTTTGGCTTAGAATTTTTAAGGAAGTCTCTAATCATATTTTTAAGAAAATCTATTATCATTTTCGGCTCAAAGACTACCCTAAAAATCTCTCTGAAAGTGCAGGAAGCCCATCAAATTCGAAGCAAACAAGAAACTGAGCAGAGAATGAGAATAACCAGATAAGAATACCCTAGAATTTCGTAAATTTGTGCTTAAAATGATTAAAAAAATGACGTTGATAGGGTATTTGACAAATGAACAAACAAAAATAAGATAGTAAAACCAAAAAATGCATAGAAAACCTTGAAAAATTAAGCTTTTAGGCCGAAGAAGCACACAAAAGGGGGAAAGATAGTTACTTTCACAGCAAGTGAGCTCCCGTAGTTGCTTCCGATTAAGAGGCCGTGCCTTCCGATCTGATAGGAGGGGAGGGGAATGTCTTAGAATGAGTGAAGTTGAATAGCAACGGAGTCGAAGATGCTATTCGTGTAAAGCTCTACCTCATGCAAAGCAACGAAGTCTAATAGCTATGACGAAATAAAGAAGATGAAAAGCTTTCTGGCTTGAGCCCTCAACTTCGAGGAAGAAACAACGATGGCTCCTCCGACAATGGAGGAAAAAACGATGGGTTCTCGCAGACTTCTCTCTCGCCTGCATCTCCTGAAATTCTTTTTCGCTCAAATTTGCATGATTTTACTTTACGCATAAAATAAATTGTAGCGAAGAGTTTCGAATACATTAGAATTTTACTTTCGGTTGTATCAAACTAAACACTTAAAAGTTAAAATAATAAATGTCAAATTTATTTAACTTCAAATCAAATAGACCATATGACCCTATATAAAACAATAAGCGTCAAACTCGACTTATTAACATGGCTAACTTGAAGCAAAATCTTCAAATTTCTTTATGCTCTTACATTGCACTACAAGAATATTGTATATTTGTAACTAACTTTGTGACCCTTCAACTAGAAATGATAAGGATTTATGACTGAATTTAAAACTATGAATATGCGTATATTTTATCACACAGAGTGATGATTTATTAATTAATATTTGCTATCAAAATCACTATTTTAAAATTATTTAATCACTCCATCGAGTTTAGGTGGGTTGGTGGGCGAGCTTGGTTGGGAACCCCCCATCCCAAGTTCGAATCCCCTCTCATACAACACGACTCCTTAAGTGGAGAGAAAAGAACTATGGGTCATGCACCTATGGAGTTGGTTGCTAGTAGACTCGGCGAGGGATTAATTATGCCGCCAAGCGCCTCTTTCAAGAGATGGTAACGGGTAGATACCCCTGTTACCCAAAAAAAAAAAAATTATTTAATCGTTCTTAGTATTCTTATGGTTGTGAGCTTGCTATATGTATCTTCAAA